AATGGTGTCTACAACGTTTAACTAGTGGTTCGGGTGCCTCTAGAGGCGAACTCACGGCTAAGGAAACATAGATCAAGCAGTCTATGAATATTTGCGAGAGAACTATATAGTTTGTATGAGGAATTGTATGGTTAACGGAACAATACTATTCACATGCTTGTCAAAAATTGAAAAACAGCTCAATTTTCACCAAACTTAGGACTTTGATTGGGAAAACTATGCAAAACAACTTTTTTAGATGACCATAGATCTTTTCGACTGTTATGTCTCATAGCTTCACACTTTGTCTGAAAAATAGTGTACATTTCCTTACATTCCTCATCCTTCATTGTTCAAATTTCAAATTTCATAAGCAAGAGAAAAAATTGTAACAGCTTTTTGCTTCTATGCTGCTATGCTGCTGCTCATCCTTCAAATTGAGAAAAACAAATATTTGCAGGAGTCATGAGCTGCATACTATCGAAAAGTTGCTTCAGAGTCGACATGGAAAATCCTTATAAAAAAAATATTTTTAAATCTACTTAACAGTGCTGTTCATACGATATGATTATGAAATCATGTTATAAAATCAGTTCCACTTAGAATCCGGACACTCTATTTATTCTATAGCAGCGTCTCTAGTGGTTGAATTTGGAATGTTTTGACAGCAATTTGTTTTGAAAGTACACATGTTTCAGTGGTGAAAGTTTCGTGTCTTAAAAGTTGTACTAGAGGTAAAAACGAGAAAGGAAAATTAACCCTGCACCCGATGTGATCAATTCGGAATATCACGAAAAAGTTGAAAATTGCCGGTTCTACCGTGGGAGATGTTCTCAAGCGGATCCTTTATCGCAAGAGTGTAGTACCGTCCAGAGGATCCATCTGCGGGAAGGCTAGCATTCATTCCGTGCCTCCAAGCAACCGAACATAACGATGAAACAGAAGCTAGTGGCCAGAACATGCGGCCGGATGTTGTACGACCGGTTTCAGACGAAGCACAGATGATGCATCCTCATGGACGACGGAACCTAGAGGGTGTCCCACATCAAATTGCATCACGTCAAAGACGCTGTATAAAATTACCTAGTTGACCGATCCTTTTCAAACTCTCAGACAACAAAATAAAACCCATCAGTGAGCTTTCAACATCAATACCATAACCGTACGCTCGCACCTTACGCTTAACTCCACGCATTAGGTTCTGTACAACATCTGGCTGCAGCTTCTTCTGTACGGAACCCACTTTTTCTTCATGTCTTCCTTGGGTACGAAAGTGACCCCATTGTACTAGTTGGCTTCGGACCACTCCAGGACAACATTTGAGTAGTGGCACGAAGCTAGATCCGGCCAGAAGATTGTAGGGCCCTCGTGTTGCTTCAACAGAGGAAGCAGACGCTTCTGAAGACACTCCTTGAGGTAGATCTCCCCGTTTACAGTCCCGGTAGTCTCGAACAGCACACTCCGTTTGCCACATGAGCAGATCGCTTACCAAATCATGTATTACTTGGCAAACTTTGAAAGTTTCTGCTTCCTTACTACATCCGGAACATCAAACTGGTGCTGGGCGATGAAGAAGAGTAGCCCCGGAAGCTGCTGAAAGTCCGTCTTGACGCAAGTCATCCATGATGAGACAATGAGGCTTCGTCAGCATCTGGGTGTACAGTTTCCGGGCCCGTGACTTTCCCACCGTATTTTGCCGTTCGTCACGATTTGGAGTCTTCTTCACTTTGTACATATGCAGTCCCTTCCGGTCCTTGGCTCTCTGAACGATAAACTTGGACAGATTCAACTTTTTGACCACATCCCTGACCGAAGCATTGGGATTCCGCTTAAACGCTTTAACGACACGCTTGTGATCCTGAACCTGATGACTAATAGAACATCCATTTTTACCGCATTTCTCCTTCCGTTCGATGCTCAGAGTTTTATAGTAACGTTTAATCACACTACTCACTGTTGACTGCAGACATCTTCCATCTAGTACAACTGTTTCAATACTTCACGTATCTTTACGAAACTTTCAAAACCTATGGATTAAATTTAGAATTGGCTTCAACTACTAGTGTAATATTAACCAACATTTTAACCGCTTTAGAATTTCAGTACCAAATAGCAAAACAATGAATTTCATACTCGACCGTCTCCGATTTGCATGAAACTTTCCATAATTGTTTGCCATGGTCATTCCTTGCTAAAATTCGGCCAATTTGAATGTCGCAAAGAACTTGAAAATGGCGTATTCGAGATTTTTACTCAAATCATAACTCTATAACGTTACTTCTTATAGTAGGAAAAAATATTTCTTTCTGGAAAATTACACACGGTAAAAAAAAAAATCTAGTAATTTTGTGCAAAAAACACAAAAAGTTTTTTTAAACTTAAATAACCAAATATGATCTTTTTGAATATTTTTTCAATATTTGTCATAACTTGTGAAAATTTAAAGTTGGACTCTTTAAAATTAACGCTTATCATTGAAGGAAACTTTTTGACATGTACGAAAAATATTTGTACTTACATTTTATGTGTAATTTTTAACAGATAAGAATTTTTAAATTCAAAGTAATTGTTTTCCGTGCAAAATTTCTCAAAAAATTGTTCAGTCAAAAAGTTTTAAAATTTTAACAATAGTTTCCGTCTTGAAATTTTCACAAATGGTAGAATTTTTCATAAGATTTTCAATGAAAAACATTCAACACATATTGAAGTGGGCCCTTTTTTGTTATTAAAGATTTAAATACTTTTTTGGATCTTTCTCCCAAAATTACTTGATATTTTTCACTGTGTATATTTTGTTCTAAAACTTTTTCACAGACGTCATTTCTCGACGATCATTTCAAAAGGGCCTATGAGCCAAGTATAGACAATTACTTGAAACGTAGATTTCTCAAGAATCACAATACTCACGCAAACTAACAGCAGAATCTGGAACGGTTTGCTTTATCATATGGTGTAGTTGGATTGTGTGGGAGTCTTGAGGTTCGTGAGAAATCGACGTTTCAAGTAATTGTATTAGCGACGCCGGTGGTGTAGTGGTAAGCGTGATTGCCTCTCACCCAGCAGGCCTGGGTTCAATCCCAGTCGGCACCGCCGGGATGTTCTGAGGCATAACATCTCTGATCACGCCTTCCTTCGGGAAGTAAAGCCGTTGGTCTCCGGTTCATGAGTTGATGGGTCGATAGGTATGGTCCAGGTATGGGAGCTGCTTCCTTGGCGTCGGTAGCATTGGTGCTCAGCACGTAAAACAAGATCGACGGAAAACAAAAAAAAAAAAGTCATTGTATACACTTGGCTAATGAGCACTTTTCAAATGTTCGTCTAGATTTCAATTGACGTAGTCGAGTTATGTCTTGTTGAAAATTTTGAAGTCGCAATTTTGAAGTTTTTTTTTTGCAGGCGCCGGTGGTGTAGTGGTAAGCGTGACTGCTTCTCATCCCAGTGTGCCCAGGTTCAATTCCAGCCAAGGTCGGTGGGATTTTTCTGAGGCATAAAAATCTCTGGCCATGTTCGGAAGGGCAGTAAAGCAGTTGGTCACAGCCTATGTGGTTGATGGATGCGAGATCTACCTAAGTGTGGGAGCTGCCTCCCTTGCAATTCGATTGCCGTCAATGGATGGCAATCGATGTCCGTCGGTGATTTGAACTCGATTCCGGGATAGAGACCGTCGTTAAATTAATGAATTAAAAAGAAGAAGAAGAAGAAGAAGAAGAAGAAGAAGAAGAAGAAGAAGAAGAAGAAGAAGAAGAAGAAGAAGAAGAAGTAAAATAAGAAGGAGAAGAGAAGATACTTTTTTTTAAGATTCAAAATTGCCGAATTTTATCTTATATATGAATGATTTATCGTAACAAACAATCATACAAAATTTCACGCAAATCGAAAAAAGTCTGTGCTCTTATCGTTTCTACTGAATTTTCAACGTTATTATTCAGTAACTACATTAAAAATAGTACTGCAAAATGGATTGTTTCTAAACAGTTAAAATAATAATCTGTCGAACTTCGATTTTCTCAAATTGGTGAATATGTTACATCGGTCTTTTTGAAAAGTGACGCGAGAATTCATTCCAAGAAAGATCTCGAAGAGTTACTACAAAAATCAACGTTCTTTCCATTGCAAAATCCGAAAGTTATCACGAGTTTGTTTTTATCGTCGGTTTTCCGCACGGGAAATTTGTGTGCTGCAAGCAGAAACTGGGCTGTCTTTCCACTCCAGAAGATTTCCAGCTGTCTTTGTCGTCGTCGCTACATAACCTATGCGCCACTTTTAGGGTTAGGGTGTTATAGTTTTTCTTTTCTAGATGTTACGTAGATTGTATTCATTTATGCGCCATCCGTCAACGGCTGTTTAGGAGTAACCAAACCACACGCACAACTTTAACGTACCAAGTTCAAACACTAATTTGTGCTCGAAAAACATTGTGTTTTCACACCGATCACGAAGCTGGTAAAGCAGCAAACTGATTCATATATCAAATGTTAGGAATGCTCTTATTTATGCCTATGAAAACTCTTACAAACCGTTGATCAAATCTTTCATCGAAACGCACTATTTTTTTAAGTTTAAGAATAGCACTCAACCACAAAGTACTACCTGTTGGTGCAATAAAAAGTTTATTAAAGTGTCTATTAAGTGAAATATCGTGGTGGTGCGTATTACCCTACTGCCGCGTTTTATACCATTTCGTCCTAATCCACTCAAAATTTACATATATTTCGATCCCACACGTTGCTCCTCATATTAGCAGTGCTAATCATTTCAAACAAGATCTGCATAATTTTTCACAAGCACATTCTTGGCTTTGGCTGTCACAAATTCACCGACATTAAAAACAGATTAGCGAACAGGCGGAAGCATCTTTTCGGAAGGCGTCATTTATCGAAATGTGTACATCTTCCTTCGTCCTCTCTAAAGAAAGAAGTGCTTCTTAGAAGTTTGCCGCTAGTAAAGCTTGAAATTTGTGGCATCACTTAATAAGGACCACCCAAAATAACAACATTATTTCTCTCTATCTTTTTCCCCAGATTATAGTAATGCAACCGATTGGCCAAATGGACTTAATTCTTCTTCGACGACACCATACGTTACAAACTATTCACCGATCCAAACGACACCTCCTTCATACGGTGGATACGATCCGTGCCCCATGGCAGAGCATCCGAATTACAACCTTCCTGCAGGTAAGCTGTTTACGGTTTTCACTTCGAAAGATAAGATTTATTAATTTTATTTTGTAGTTCTTCCAGATACCGCACAAACATACCAGGATTACTACAGCATCCCACCGGCGACCGGTACCACCCCACACCAAGCCATGCCTCACGGGTACGTTTCGAAGACGACCGATCTGGACGCGTCCTACGGTCCCTACAGCCAATGGGCCAACGGATATGGAAGCTACCAGTATAATACAACCTGCCCACCGCCATTGCCACCTCCACAAACACAGTACCCTTCAACCGCACCCGCCATGGTTCTTTGTCCTCAAATGTTCAGCACCGTGAATCAGAACCAAATCCATGTGCACCTACACGGTACGGGCAGTGAAAAATTGGAACAATACCTAGGAACGGATAATGGGTTCAGTATCAATTCGATCTCTTCCGGCGGCGTAAGACCCCCACTTCCAGGAGTTGAAATTGGTATCGGAAGTCATGAAAGTAGTATAATAAGCCACGATGGTAGTCAACAGGCACAACAACAGCAACAATCGCAACAAGCGCAGCAGCCACAGCAGCATCCGGCAGCACATCCTGGAGAAGTTAGTGATCAACAGGAAAGCCGAGAAGAGTCCGTGACAGGCGATCCGAGTAGCGTTTGGCGACCTTACTGATGTTACGAGTTTTAAAGGCACCCTCGACTGATCATTGAGGATGCTTTTTTGGAATGTTCAGGAAGGAAGGCGATTTTTATGGCTATACATGATATTTTCCCCAACGCGCTAACGGACAGAGGCACACAGAACCAACCAATCGCTCAAATTTTACCGATTGACAAAATCGTACTCTCTCTATTATAGTAGCAAATTTAGAATAATTAATGTTTGGTGTATAGAAGAAAAAACAATAGAACTATACAAAATGGAGATTTATGTTACTCGTCAAACAAATTTTGTTAGGTTATATGTTAAGCTATAAAATTTCAGTGGATAAAAAAATAAAAACGATGAGAAAATAGAACAATTTCCTGAATGTTCAATGGAAATAGCACTATTTGTATAAAACTAGATTTGATTTCTGTCAATCCGAAAATCTTGACAACATAAAACAGTGTTTGGAATGTTTGTCATCCCCTTTTTGCTTTACGCAACCTAATTTTAATACATCGACTGCTCACAGATAACTGATCTTTGAGCACTTTAAAAGTTGAGAACTGACTGTGAGAGTATTATAAATGTGATTCAAGGTTACAAAATAATTAAGTGGAATTATATGAAAGATAACTTTTTTTTGCAGTTTTACTAAGCATTCCACTAGCAACCCAATTTAATTATTTCATTATGATGCCTACCAAGCATTTGGGATTTTCCTTTACAAAGAGTTGATTAGATTTTCTATTTTTACTTTACTTAACTTACTTTACCTAGTTAGCTAGCTTCCGATTATGCACGTGATTTTGACATGTATGCATGGATTAATACTTTAAGGGGTTAGATTTTGATAAGTCTTTAGTTGGATTGACTCTGATGAATAACTTTTTCTGCTGTTTTTTTTAAGCATTTCACTAACAACCCAATTTCAAATTCAAAATTTCCAGATGCAGCTCTTTGCTTTTTTAATCGAGAAATTCCAGAAAAGCTTATCAAATGTTTTTTCTACCTCATCATGAAAAAAATAGGATCCTCAGCCACCGAAAGGTCGATGTTTTGTGGGTTTCTGAGTTCAACTTTTTGCCATGATGACTTAGAGAAAATGTTTTCACACTTAAATTTTCTTTAGAAATATAAGTAAATAATACTGATTTTTTTGTTATTTTCGAAATATAGGTATATGCAATATTTTTTGAAAAAAAAACAAGTTTTTTTTACGTAGGACTACGTCTGTGATTTCTATATGGGGGTACAATTTGTGAAAACCGAAAATGGAACATGTAACGAAATTATGAATGATTTTGGCCGTTAACAACTCAGCTGCCCCTGGACCAATTTCAATAATTTTATCACTGCTGCTTCCCCAACACAGTAATCAGAGAAGCGTTTCTAAACGAAACATGTCGATGTAGCATTGCTGTTTCCCCAACACTGTCATCAGAGAGTCGTTAGTAGACGAATCAAGTCGAAGTGGCATTTGCCTCCAATCTTCGGGCGTGTGCGAATAGGGATGATGCAATTGTGTAACATTTTGCACACTCATCGCCAAATTCAGAACCACACGCCCCAACGACCACGCAAAATGATCTCCAGAGTTGTAATCTTGTAACCAAACTTGGAAGCAGGGGTGCAAGTGATTTTGATCGATTCTATTAATCGACTTTCTGTTTCGTTAATAACTCGACGGCAAACACATTAATTGATACGTTTGTTGTTCTGGATGATAGAAGAGCATAGCAGAAATAGTGCGAAATAGGTTAGTAAAGCCACCCGAGCAAAGTCTGAGATCAAATGGAAATCTAAATTTGATGTTGTGATTTCGCTGATAATGATTACTCAGGTTGCTGTCGTTTTGGTCGTTTTAACGGTTAAAATATCAAAATTGAGAGCAAAAAAATCTTCCTGTGACATCATATTGAAAACCATTTCTGCTATCAGTGAGAGCAAACTGAAAACTCAATTTGATATCAATTTTTCCTGTTGATAACAAAACAAGTAATCAATTTGATGTTATGCTAAGGCAATGAAAACAAACCCGCAACAACATATTTTTGAAGAGCAAATGTACATCAAAATGAAAACAAAATTTAACAATTGCATAAACTGAAATCAAATTTGTGCTTGCTCGATATTGCAAATCGAAGGAAGAACTATCAACTTGGAGGACCTTCTGTGAAAGTCCCGGAAGCTCTGTGAACCTGGCGAAATTTTAGTGAACCTGTTGGAAGTTCTGAGAACTTTTCGGAAAATCCATCACTAAACCTGTCAAAAGGTCTGTGAAGGAAGATATTGTTTAAAAAAATCAGGTTGATCAGGAATAATTCCAAGGACTTTCAGTGGATCAAAGATCTGCCTATAAGTCCTTTGGATATTTTTTCAAGACTTCAGGATGATCAAGTTTTGTTTTGAAGTTTATCAACTGTCCAAAAATTCAAGTCACTTTTCACAGAAATTTCAAACAGTGCTGTTAATTTTCATATCATTCGATTGAAGAAGAACCAATACAACCATTCAATCATTTCTGTGAAAACAAATTATCACATGATCATAATTTGAAGAGGTAACGGCACGGGTGGTGTAGTGGTAAGCGTGATTACCTCTCACCCCAGAAGGCCTGGGTTCAATCCCAGTCGGCGCCGCCGGGATGTTCTGAGGCATAACATCTCTGATCACGCCTTCCTTCGGATGGGAAGTAAACCCGTTGGTCCCCGGTTCATGAGTTGATGGGTCGATAGGTAGGGTCCAGGTGTGGGAGCTGCCTTCCTGGCACGTCGGTAGCATTGGTGCTCAGCACGGAAAACAAGATCGACGGAAAAAACAAACCAAAGGAAAAAAAAATAATTTGAAGAGCCCCTTTCTCATTCGAAGCTCATTGTTACTATCAATTGAGTCACTCACTATCATTTGATATACGACAGTGGAGGTAGAAACCCAGCAAAATGGTCCCGAACAGAATAAGTCGAGCCGATTTCGGATCAATGTAAGGCAAATTTAAGGTCGATGTCGACCCAATGTCGTGTTGTTGTTGGGTCAATTTGGGGTTTATGTCAGGTCAATGTCGGGTCAACATCGGGTTGGGGTTTGGTAGAAGTCAGGTTGGTGTCGGGTTTGCTTAGCTTTTTCGCCGGAATGTCGACCAGAGCTTATGTGTAGGTTACACTCAATTGAATGATATCAAGCGATTGTCAAATGAGAATGATCCAGTCATTTGACAAAGATGACTAAGCGACTGATATCACCCATTGGAGGGAGGTCCCCTTTGATAGCGAATAGCTGCTTTTCTCATTTTCATCAAAAATGTTCAATTGATTTTAAGAATTTACAGCACTGATCTCCAAGACCATCAGTTCAGGAAAAATCTCCATAAAGTCCTTTGGATATTTTTTTTTAAAGACTACATGTTGATCATAAATTCTGTTCAGTTGTCCAACAATTCAGATCTTGTGTCCCGGATTATCTCTCAAGATATTTAGTTCATTAGAAATTACTCCAAAGGTCTTCAGTTGATCAAAAATGCTATTCTAATATCAACATGAAGCATTAGTGCTATAATTTATTAGCTAGAAACAGTTCCGCTCACCAATCAAGCGAGCTAGGCATAAGAGTGCGCATAGGATTAGTATTGTTGCATTAATAACCCATGGCTCAATTTCAACTTCTCTTCAATTTTCACACTGCTACACTGATAAAATTATTTTGTAATTAAAAAAAGACCACTGTGTACTTTTTGACACAATCAAACAGGCAGAAACATGTAAAATAATCTATGATTTACTATTAATGTAGATAAATTACACGCTGAAACTAAATTGGATGATACGAAAAAAAGGAAATGTAAAATTAAAAGAAATATAGTTAAAAAAGTTAACGAGTGAAAAAAAAAATAGGAAAAAAATTAGATTTAATATTTGAAATAGCAGAAGACGGATAGACGCATGAAGAATGAGACTTTTAGGAGCAAAAACAAAACATGAATATTTAAAAAGAACGAGGCAAAAAAGGAAGAATTGAACAATAACAGAGACTTTAAAAAGGGAAAATTTTAAAAGTAAACATAATACAAAGAAAATCACTCAGAGATAACGAGACCACAACGACAGGCCTGAAGGACAAAATGATGGTGTTTAGGTGAAACGAGATCTATCAAAAACAATGATAGCCGGCACCGGTGGTGTAGTGGTAAGCGTGACTGCTTTCTCACCTCAATGGGTCTGGGTTCAATCCCAGTCGAGGCCGGTGGGATTTTTCTGAGGCATAAAAATCTCTGGTCACGTCTTCCTTCGGAAGGGAAGTAAAGCCATTGGTCCCGGCCCATGTGTGTTTGAATGGATGCGATATCCTGCACATTCGATTGCCATCAATGGATGACAATCGATGTCCGTCGGTGATTGGCACTAGATTGCGGAACAGAGACCGACGTTTAATAAAGGTAAGAAGAAGAAGAAGAAGAAGAAGAAGAAGAAGAAGAAAGACAATGATAAGCAGACGGTATATGAAGAATACACACACTGGAGTCGACCAGAAGGTGGAACAAAGAGAAAACAAGCGCCGACGTACTCTCGCATTTGGACTATGACAATGGCAACTACAGTACTGTTCAGATTGGATAGATAAACGTATCCCCGGATTCGGGACATCAACAAACAGTCATGTATCCTGTTTCTGATGAATAAGCTTTAATATTATGGATTCAATAGTTATCAACTCTGATAGGAAGATCAACTTGATCTCGTAAGCGAAGAAAGATCGCGTGAACAATGCGTTTTAAAAGGTAACACAACGAAATTTTGAATCACAAAACTAAGCGATGTTGGCATTTCGAAGCTAAGTAAAAGAAATACAGATCGTATCATTTTTAAATGAAACCGCACGGAAGCGAAGAGGTGCAAACCCAACGTAAGCGTGTTCGAGAAGCTGCGGCTACATCAGCAGAACAAATCACGATGATGAGCATGATGGTGATGGACGATGCACGATGATGGAGTCAAGATGGGCGATGATGATGGAATTCCACATGCCGGACAAGAATGGGAAGTTAAAAAGTTGGGAGCTAATAAGCAAGCTAAAATTGAAGCACTGTCCGAAAAAGGAAAGCTCACAGGGACCACGAATTAGAAATGCTAGAACCGAATGGGAACGAGGACTGCCGCGCTAGTAGTCTGAAATCAATGCGATGACTAGCCCAGAATCACAGAGACGAGTGGAGATCAGCAACGGACGACACGAGCAGCGTAAGGATGGATACCTCTGGGGATCAAATATTAAGTTAAGTAGGCTTGTTTTTATGTAACCGTTCCTATTGAACCCATTTCTTTTGAACGTGATCCTTTCTAGATCACGTTCAAACTAATCGAGTAGGGGTAGATGAGACGGCTCCCGTTCCATGTTTGCATTTTATCATGAGGCCGTCACATTATGTCACAGACAGTGACCTAGAGTTATACAATTAATAAGGGCCTTTAAATTGTGCTTCTGCCACTGAAAGCAGTTTTTTTTTTCAAGTTCGCACAACACGGAGAACAAATTATAGCAGACGTAATTATTTTTCCGGTCAAAATAAATATATTGTTCAATTGTTTTAGAGATAACCCGAAACTATAGTTGATTTGACTATATATAGAGGGCAACAACTATAGTCCATAGTTGACTCCTCGATTGGCCCAACTATATTTTTTAGTAGATGAACAAACGTCAAACTTCAAAATACAACTATGCTTTAGTTGATTCAAGAAAACTATTGTTAGGAACAGAGCTGGTAAATATCACGATGAGAAAAAAGGTCCTCTCACTATCACGAAACGAAACTACCTATCATTAGCTTTTTTGTCATTTTTCAATGATCAAGCAGTCATGAGAATAATTCTTATCAAGAGCCACATGTGAAAAGGGCATACAAGCTTTTTTGTAAACAAACCTTTGTAGGCCCTCTTCTCACCAACCGCGGGTTGCCCACGCAAACTAATAACATCATCGGGAAGGGAAAAGCTTCCCCTATCCGGTGATGTTATTGGTTTGCGTTGGTGTCATATGGGTGGCGAGAAAAGGGCATAAAAAGGTTTGTTTACAAAAAGCTTGTATGCCCTTTTCACATGTTGTTCTTGTTATGTGGTTTTGACATCAACATTTCTAACTGATTTAGATGAATTCAAGCAAACAACCCTATGTAATCGGTAAAGTGGATACATTATTAAGATTACCTCGGTACAAGTAACTTTTATAGCGTTAAATGAGCTAGTAATTACGATGATCACAACACTGTCACGTTCTGTCATGACAAAAAATTCGATGAGATTTTGAAGAAAATCTCTATCATCGTTTTCTGATCCAATGATAGTGACAGAAGTATATCTGTAAATATCGCGTGAGATCTTTCATTGAAAATGACATTTGCCAGCTCTGGTTAGGAAAGCAACATTTTACAATGTTTATTAAACGAACTGCTCTTCATTATCGACATATGAAGGAAGTTTGTTTTGCTTCTTTATCGATCTCAAAAACACAACTGCAAAATCATACAAAAAAGTGTACAAGAACATTCATCTTAGATTTGAACCGTGTTCATCTGCGTGAGAGCCAGTTATCTTATCGCTTGCTCCACGCATCACAAGTTAAAATTGTGCGGCTTTATGATGATCACTTGAAACCGAATTATATAAATAAATTACATTTGACGTTTGTTATAATTGATCAAAGTTATAGTTTAATTGAGTATAAGATGAACAGTTGCATCTATTAGGTAGATATGATTGAATTGACGGTCAAATTAATGTTGGAATAACTATAGGTTTCTTTCAAACAACATTATTTTTCCATGTGAAAGTAACTATTAGGATTGTTATCTTAACTTAACGAATTTGTTCTCCGTGAAGAGCGCAACGGAAGCAGGTTCTTTTGTTTTTTTTCTCGGCAGCATGTGGCTCTGAGATAATAGAGCGTAGAATGAACCTTTTGACGTACGACTACGTCTGTGATTTCTAAATGGGAGTACACTTTGTGAAAACCGAAAATGGAACATGTAACAAAATTATGAAAGATTTTGAACTTTAATAACTCAGTTACCCCTGGACCAATTTCAATAATTTTATCACCAATCGATCAGAAATATGCGGAAGAAACTTTGAATAAAATCCAAATTAAAATATACAAAATATTTTACATTCCTGGCATAATTGGTCAACTCTGTCAAAAACCACGCACAACTTTCAGAAGGGCATTTTTCAAAAACATTAAGAAGAGTGAAAAACTCGATTGTCAAGTCCCGTCCCGGGTTGACATTTCAGTGCCAACATTTCAAAGGGGCGTAATTGCTTTTGTAAACAATGACTTTAGCCGTGAAATTCTCGCGAATGAAATCTTACCTCTTCAAAATTGCAATGCTAGCTGGTAGAAGAAACATTCCTCTACCTGTTGGTGTCATTATTTTTCATGAGTGAGCTTTTATTCGCGAGAAATCGACGGCTAAAGCCATTGTCTGCAAATGCAATTACGCCCCTTTGAAATGTTGGCACTGAATTTGTGTGTTTGTTTATGCTGTCAAATAAACGCCTGCCGGCGCCGGTGGTGTAGTGGTAAGCGTGACTGCTTTCTCACCCCAATGGGTCTGGGTTCAATCCCAGCCGAGGTCGGTGGGATTTTTCTGAGGCATAGAAATCTCTGGTCACGTCTTCCTTCGGAAGGGAAGAAAAGCCGTTGGTCCCGACCTATGTGTGTTGAATTGGTGCGATATCCTACGCAGGTGTGGAAGCTGCCTACCTTGCACATTCGATTGTCGTCAATGGATGGCAATCGATGTCCGTCGGTGATTGGCACTAGATTGCGGAACAGAGACCGACGTTAGGTAATTTTAACGTTTGTTGTAAAAATGCAATGTTTTGGATGCATTTTAACAACATAAAAACTGATAATTGTTGATTTTAAAATTAGACGACACCCCCTATGATCTCAAAATTTAGCAAAAGACACATCCCTATAGCTGTCAAATTTACTTTTGAAAATATTCCTCAAAAATTACTTTTCCTTTTATAAATCGAAGACAAGGATACTGTGATTGATTTTTAGCAATATACGTACACCGATTTAGAACTTCGAACATTCGTACCAACTTTACTGATTACATATGATGTCTTTCAATAACCTAGACAACCAGAAGTCGTATACTAGCGTACAAATAGAATCGTAAATTGCTAGTGATAAAGTCAACATTGCATACAATAATGAGATGCGTCGTATAATGTTTAAGTTAAGTTGCAAATAATTCAAATTTTCAACCTATTGGCGATGATTCATTTTTGTATCGTACCATATCACAAATAAGCTCGGATGAAGTTGTAAGGTTTTTGAAACTGAAATTGTTACTACAGATTAGATCGTAGATTATGTTTAATCAAATTGATGAATATTAAATGTCAATTAACTCGTATATCGCTTTCCTAGATAATCAAAGATAGCATAAGAATGTGCACTTTAGATCGCATTTGAGTTTGCTTCAAGATAAGATCAATAAGACTATAAAAGCATTCCATCTTGTTGCAATTCAAGTTGAAATTAACGCAAAACTAATACGATCAAAATAAAAGATCGTAAATGGTTACATCGCTCTATTGCGTGTCATCAAAATATGCAGCTACTTGTATAATAATAGATATGATTGTCATAGGATGTGGAGGAAGGTGCCGTGAATCTAATTCAACTCAAGATCCGATCGTTAACATAATCTGATGCTTTTCATCAACATCGAAATCTTTCCAAGTCCAAGTAGGCTTTTTGAAGCGTATAATTTATCATTTATATAATCCTCTGTACTTACAAGTCCTTATATAGTGTAGTGCATTTAGTTCTGGTTTCTGGATAAAAAGGTAGAGGTATATAGAGACTAGCTGCAGGAATAGCTTTTTTTGTTTTATTTAAATGGATGATCGTATTTCTGTTGTATTGAAATCGGCAAAACGTTATTGGTATGTATGTATATGGCCTCCACTTTGGAACGTAGTGGTAAGAGGGGCATAGTGAGCATCCCGTGCACCAGCTTGGACTTCCGGCCGTTCGGAACAAATTGGTTGGTGGTAGGATCAATATCATAATGATATTGAACCTAGTACCAGTTGATTTGTTTCATGCAGCTGGAGATCCAGAGCCAAACTGCGGAATGCTCTATACCCCATCTATTCACTATGCTCCTACCCCTATATAGCAAATCTGCGCATCTTATACGATTTGTTTGGTTAGTATATCACTGTGTTTATCCGGAACTATACGGACCAAAATGTTGACTGGGAACTTTTAAAGAATTTATTTACAATACATTTATTCGAACAAAATTGTTTCTTCTTTGATACATCACTTTTTCAACTTACAGATATCATTAATTGACTAGGATTTTTGGTTCCAATTTGTAGCTACCAGGGAGACCTGGAGTAATTCTTGACAACCAGCGCGTTCATAATTATTTTGCTCAAAACACATCAATGTTGCTTATTTTTTTTTTACGATCGCATTCATAATCATTATCCATTCATCTACTTATCACATATTTTAAAAGCTTCACGTCTTGGAACGTACACGTCTCCCATTCATTCTACAATAAATGTTTTAGTTGATCCTGTGTATGGGTACACTCCGCCAAGAATATATCGATAATATCCAAAATGTCTGATGCGGTATGTTCCCAGCTTCACATCGGGTCCAATTTCCCACGAAAACTCGATATCACTTAATCCAAGAATCGTCGATTGGCGTTCCCATTTGAACCTGAAAAAGAACGTTCTTTAATAAAACTCAACAAGTGCTTTCAATAGAACTAACTTTGTTTCCCAGTTGGCATCAGTGGCAATAACTGCCCAATTCCCGTCGATCTGCTTCTGTTCAACAGTGAAGTAAGTCTTATCATGCATCAAATTATTTCGAGGATTTCCCGTTATAAATGTAGCATAGGCTGTGTCTCCTCGTTCGTACGTGTTGAGAGGTTGAACTTTCACGCTTCCAAATTCTCGTCCAATCGGATGGCCGTCGAAGATTACGCCAGTCATTAGAGAGATTTGTTTATCATCCTGATACGGAGGCGATGGCCCATCATCTATGGTTTCGTTTTTGACTATCGATCTTATCATTTTCTTGTACTGTTGTATATAGATCGTTAAGGTGTGTGGCCCGTACAATGTCGAAGCTCCTTCGTATCGCTGAATTTCAAATTCTTCCGGTGTAGTAATGTAGCTAGAGTACATATTGGACAAACCAGCAACCACTACTTGGAGTTCTTTTCCTCCAGCAGCTACCGATGCCCTGGAGATTTCGTTCCTCAGTCTTCTGCCTGACATTGTGGTGAACTCACCGGGCACTGCCGCTATGGCAAAGTCTCCAATGAGCAATATTTGCGTGGGAACGATTTTTGGTTGCCAATCGTAAGGGAACTTTGCCCTACCAGTAGCCAACAGAATTGGCTTAGGAGCTTGGCATTCTTTATCGTCTGCTGTAGGCTCGGCAATGAAATCACGAACAGTGTTCCACAAAGCATTGTCGGTTATTGTTCCTTGCTGAAAATCAAATGCTCCTGGACCATCCGTAGTGCCAGCAGCAAAGCTATAACCCATCGCAGGAAGACAACCACGGACCTGCTCAAACTCGCGAGTTTTGGGGTTGTAGTACATAGCATCGGCTTTTGTCATATCGATAAATTGATGCACGAAATTTATAGGTCCGGTTACTTCTCTTCCACCTGCTTTGCTTAGAAGATGCTACAAGAGGCAGAATAATTACAATAGATAAAACATACTTTTACAGAAAATGCTTACCGATGCCGCTCCGTATAATCGTGTGGCAATAATTTTGGTGCTATCATACATGTCTTTTCCGGGTCCTGATGCAAAGCATGCACCCGCTCCACTAGGGCATGACGATGTCAGCAAATCGCAAGGAAGCCCAGTCTTCTCACATCTTGGTCCCTTGATGTTCGGTGAAACATCTCCTAGATTGGACGACGCGAACACTCCTACAAATTCGCCTTTACCCACCAAGCTACCCTTATTTCTCTCCTGTTCCAGCAGAATAGAAGCATATCCTACATTATCACTCGATACGTAACGGTTTGTGTTATTCATCGAAGTGGGATGCACTGCGAACCAATTGATTGTTCCGAATACCACGTTATTCTTGTTGACTATTCTCATCTGAACCAATCGTTTGTCAACATTGTCTTTATACTGGGCTTTCTCCTCTGCTGGATTGTTCTCGTACGCACTGGGGCTTCTGTTAATATTTGCTTCTTCCACATCGATCTCCGATATAAAGACTCGTGCATCAATCATACTGTTATGGGCTCTGATGATACTTTGAGCTATTCCTTTAACTAGCGCGTTGAACGTTTCGGATACAAATCCCAACGATGTCATATCATACAGCAGATACATTAGGAATCCTCCAGGGGTACCGTGTGTATGAGATCCACTGATGGCCACGTTTTCCACGGTGTATAGATCACCATACTTCTTCTGAAGCACTGCTATGACATCACGTTTGACGGCGTGACCCATCATACCAGCGTCCACACTGATAAAAACTGCTCGTTTGCCATTCTCTTCGAAGATAAATGCTCGGGAGTACTGTCTTAGGTGGATGCCATAGCCCCGCTGAGATAGTTGAGCATAACCCATCTGAAAGTAGAGGTAGTAATGAGTATTTTAAATATAATTGATCAAAATTTTGATGTTGAAGTGTTTGGCTACTAGCACATATAGGCTAATGGTAAAAGATCCGGTAGGCAAATCACCGATCTCTCTATGGATGCTAAATCTAACGAGCTGATATTGCCTCCGCAGATATGTAATTTCCATAAAAAAGAAACAGAAGGCTGTTTATCAAGGTAGAAATGAAGAAGACGAAACTGCTCTGCACATGCCGTGTCTAGAGGTCAACAACCACAGACAGTCTTCAACGTCCAGTTCATAGGAAAAAAAAAATGCAGAGACAAGTTCGGTTGTATAGTGAGAAGAGTGTCTGCTCAGCAAGCAGAAGGTCATAGTTTCAATCCCGGACGGGCCTGGGATGACTTTAAATATTTGTATCGTTGATAAATTGTGAAGAGCGACGCTTTCTACTGAAAATTCCACCCCTCCGTTGAAACTTATATGGGGTCGTAGAGCTCTGTGCATCTATTTTAAGTATTTAAGTGTCCAATAAGAATTCTTCCTATCCCTACCAGTTGCAAGAACGTGGCCAGGACAGTTCTCGATCATTGGAGGCTGTATCGCTTCCATCTAAGATGCAAGATGAACATTGGGATGGATACAGGCATTGAAAAAGCTCTCTCACGAGCTGATGATCACAGGTAAAAATTGGGTGTTTATTTGTTCTCGATTGTATCGTTCATAAGTCGAAAGTCGACGAAGAGAATCGATCAATGTTACTTAGGATCTAATGCAATGTTCAGCTTGAAATGATTCCGAAAGCGAACTCTGGTTTCGCTCTCTCAGCCTATTTCACAAAATATCGAGAAACGAGCTAGCTGTGTGTTTCTTGTCTCCTATTTCATGTTTCGTCGAGGAGAAGAATGAAATCGTCCGGCTGAACTTCTGCTACTCTGCTGATGTTTTCTTTTTCTTAACTTAGTCTTATGTTTAATGCATGAATATATTTAGGTTGCATACTAATAGCGAATTTGTTTTTGATTCAGTTCCTGGATCGGGTATCAAGATTGGGTTTGCTTGTTGTCAAGCAAACGTCAGTGTGAACGTTTGTTTTTGTAACCTGGCTCGGGTTGAGGTTCGCACTGACAAAAGGCTCGGGTTCGCACGGGCCTGGATAATAAGCAAATTCGCTATAAGTAAGCCGTCTGTTATTTTATGGTGGAAATATTCATTTAGGATGCATTTAATACTCTTATTTTACGTTACTCATAATAGCAATTCAAACGTCAACGGCTGCTTAGAGTTATCAATACAAAAGTTCACGAGTCATAGTTCGTGATTTATTTCATTACACATCGAGGGCAAAAAGTTGTGTAAGGCATTTTGAACAAAAAATATAGTTTAAAATACGCTGGAAGTGATATTAGTTTATCTCAATCTCAAACAAGAAAGTTCGTTCGGGAAATAACGCTTTGCGAAATTCACATCGCTAAGTTCCCTAGCGAAAACATGTCGCTTACGATATTGAAATTTTGGCGATATTTTCAACTAAGGGCAGAAAATACATTAAAGTGCCAAATGTAAATTTACAAAGTTTTTGCTGTGCAGAGAACCAATAGGCGATCCTTGGGGCTTGCATTCATCTTCAATGTGTATGAACTGGTGATCTAAAACTTGAAACAAGGAATCTCTGATGTTGAGCAAAAGGGATGGGTTTGAAGTGTTTTGGTATACTATAAGCTGTATTTATGTTCTAACGATCTTATAACGTGAAGGAGCTTGGCAGTGAACCCACGGTTTTCTGCTCAGTAAGCAAAAAACCTATTCATATTAACAAATAAAGCGATTAGCAAATCTTGAATGTGGAGGGGCTTGAGATTAAACTCACTCAGAAAGCAAAAACGGTCGCTCTAACGCCACAGAGCCCCTCATATCACATAATACCTTCTATGTTCGAGTTGTTGTTGTAACCATTCAAACCCGGTACCAAAAGCTACGACGACGACGATGACATGATTCGAAAAACCCACAATAAGCAAGTGATATGACTATACATTTCCTTGACGCGAAAGGAGATCACACGTTTTTCTGCTCAGTAAGCAAAAGCACTTGTCTAAGACAGCCAAATCCTTCATATCACAACACACCACTTGTGATCAAGTTGATGGTACGAGAGCCTTAAACGATTACTGATTTTGAACAAGCAATGATCGTTTGTTCATGTTTTTGTAATAAAATCACAGTCCGGATCTTGTAAATGTAAGCATCTCAAACTTAAGGAAATTCTCAAGGTTAGGTAATTTCATGAATTTTGTAACTAGCTTTTTTTATTTTGAATATATCACCATCAGTCAAATCTCAGATAAAGGAATCAAAATTAAATTATAGGATTTTGAATTTTATAATTTTGTAAAGTTCTGGCTTTTTCAAGGTAAATTGCACACAGAATAAATTTAATTCATTGAGGACGTAGGAAAATGTTAAAGATGCACAATTTTTTGACGTTGGACTACGTCGGTGATTTCTATATGGGGGTACACTTTGTGAAAACTGAAAATGGAACATGTAACGAAATTACGAAAGATTTTGAACGTTAATAACTCAGTTGCCCCTGGACCAATTTCAATAATTTTATCATCAATCGATCAGAAATATTTCTACGCATCGATAGCAATGCTTTTGCTTTTAATAATAATATTTTTTTTTTAAAAATGGGAAATGTCAAGCTGCGTCGAAATAACTAACAAATTCACTCATTACGTACATGCCTATGCTGCACAACATTATTATTACATTATTAATTATTAATGTTAAAATAAAAATAGTTTTGTTATCCCAAACCCATATGTTTTCAAGATTTTGTAACTAACAGAAAAAGATATCTCTGATACAGATTGTATGCTTAAATTCTTCAAATACAAATGTAAATAAAAGTCAACGAATTTAGATCAATTTATAAGACTGAGATAAAATTGCAATATCCTTCCTGGACAGTCATTTCATCAAAATTCTATAACATTATTATTAAAAACAAATAAGAATTTTAATACTTATAGTATGTTTGACCTAATCAAAAGTTTTAAAAAATTCCATAAATAAAAATAAATAAAATAAAAAAATGTCGACGAAATTTTGTTCAAAATAAATTTAATTGATTTGACTTGGCTTAAACATGTTTTGAATCTCCTGGTCTTCAAAATTCATAATTCAAGATCTAGATTTTGAGACTTGCAGCATTTCTCGAGAGAAAAATTGTTCAAGATAAGAAAGTAAGAAAAAATTGGGAATCAAAAATTTCGAAAAATCTTGACATGTAGCAAAAATTGTGAATAATCAGGTTATAATAATATAATTTCATCAGGTTTTAAGATACCGGCTTTTGAAGGTGCTGATCCATGCAAACTATCCTGCAGCTGAATTCCGGGCATACAATTCATCGAAAAGACAGAAATTTATACATATTAGGTATATGCAGAAATTGAAATTTATGCCCGGAATTTAGCTGCTGGAGTGCCAATTTGTGAAAATATAGCTAAAACACCAAGGCACGGGTCGTTCCTATAGAAAATGTAAAAATATGGCCATACAATAAAGATTCATCATTCAAGATTCCATCTGATACCATTAGCTGGAAAACTTTTGAATACTTCCTGATCAACCTACAACCTACCAAATATCTAGTGAACTTTACTAATATCTTGAACTATATGGAGATCTTTCGAATATTTCCAGATGTCCAGGAAGAATGTTTGAAAGAATATCCTGTAACTTATGCAACGTTTTTTGAACATCTACAAAACTTAAGTTTAACAAAATTTCCTTAACTTCTACGAAGTTCCCTGAATTTTATTCCAAATTCCATATTTTCCATTAATTTAAATTCTACAAAGATCTTTGAACATCTTTGCACTTCTGGAAAGACACCAAAGAAACCTAAAAATATTCTTGAACACCTAGAAAGTCCCTTGAAATTAAGCGAAGTTCCCAAAACCTCTAAGAAGTTCATGAAGCTTTTTGGAGTAAGATCTCTGAAAAACTGCAACAAAGTTCCCTAAAATGAAGTGAAGATCCCTGAAGTTCTTAAAAGTTTATTGAACTATTTTTAAATCTTTTGCAAAATTCCCTGAACTTTTTCAAAATTCCTTACACTTACACGCAGCTCCTCAAAATGCTACGAAATTAGAAAATCATCTACAAAGTTTGCTGTTGAATTTGCACAACTATTCCAAGTCCATGAGGCTAAAAAAAAACTGAAATTATGTAGAGGTTCCCGAGAAATTATGAGCTTCCCTTAAATAAAATAATGTTCCTTTAACTTCTACGAAGCTCCTCAAATTTAAATGAACTCTCTACTTCTACGCAGTTTTCAGAATTTTTCCAAGTTCCTTTTTTATACGAATTTTTCTGAAGATCTATGAATTTCCCAGAATTTCTACCAAGTTTACTTAATTTCAACGATCTTCCCGATTTTTTCGATAGAAGTTCATATTTGAAGTTTTACGAAGTTTTCACAAGTTAAAGAAACATTCCTGAGCTCATGGCCAATTTGTAGAGCCTGAAGATGTATTATTGCCATCGATTTGATATAATATAATTTCTCCAAATTGTAATACCGGTGAGTCAAAAACAAACACCAAAAATTCTGGAGGGGACCTAGATAATTTTGAAGGGGGCCTGCCCCCCCCCCCTGGCACCCTCATTAGTTACGCCAATGCCCTTACACCAGAATAAGCCACTGCAACCGATGATCTTTAAAACCCGGAGAGAAAAACAGTGCTGTCATGGTAAATTTAGCGCTCGTTACCCACTGATTTTTCATATGTACGTCTCCTTTAGGTAATTGTAATTTCGGAATGGACACACAATTTACTTACCCCAATTAAAACTAGGGTACGGGTAATCTTGTCTGCTATCTGCTCTCCATGAAACTTAAAAATACTTAATTTTTCGTATATTTACTACTGAAAGATTAGCGATCGATCAACAATGTTTTATTTTTGACTTTTCTGTGTTTGAACTTGGCCCCC